AACATCTGGCCTGCTGCATTGTATTTTGATTGCAAGAAATAATAAATTTCATACTTTTAATTTTAAAATGTGAATGGAGGAGGAACATGTAATGTGTAATATACAGTCCAATACCTGTGGGGATCATCACTATGTTATACGGAAATGTGCGTGTGTTTGTTTGTTGTATGTTTTGCTGACACTATGTTTGAATGTTGAAAAGTGGGTTTGGGTTTTTGCATCCAAGAATGTTTCAGGGGAAATGTTGAAAATGTTGTCTCAGTTCAAAGTAGACTTTGTTCGTTTTGCATTCTTAAATTGTTCATATCTGAATCTTGCAAAGTAATGAATTTGCTATGTATTTTCAAAATACACATCTTGAAACTGAACTTATAACTGGTTATTCTTGTTTTTTATTGTTTTTTTAAATTTTAAATCTGGGTTGTTACAGTCATAGCAGGGGGCTCTCATGACCTAGACGTCAAGGTGTTCGCCTCTCTTTCAAAGGTCCCGGGTTTGAATCCGGGTAGCAACGGAAAGATGTTCTTCTCTAAAGTTTTCTCGTTTCACCTCCTTTCCTCCTACTCGCTAGCAATGTTCTTTCGTCTCCAATTTCTGCCCCCACCCCCTCACCTCCTTTGTCTCTTTCTTACTGCTGTCTTTCAGCCGCACCTGTGGTCTTCTGGTAGGAAAGATCTACGCCTAGCCTTCTCGGACATGGGCGAAAAATCACAGAGGTCCCGTGTGCAAGTCGTTCACGTTAAATAAAGATTCCTAGGTGGTCTAAAATCAATAAAAGTAGGCTTCGGCCGCCACCCGGGAAAAATTCGAAATTTGTTACCAACTGAAAATGTTTGGAGTGACGCGCGCTCTTATGTGACACTATTATCCCTTGGAAAGCGACCATTAAGGCGCGAATAGTGCAACCAGAGACCGTAGATACCGAGACGATGCAATCCTTCTTCGGCCTTTGGGCACTATCGGAGAATCGAGGTCAGCGACTGCGTGCGTTGCTCTGCGCATTAATGAGCTCACATAACACACGCAGTGTTACTATACTCTTTCCCAAAAGAAACTTGACACATTTTCTTTGAACCTAATACTATTAAATCAAAACGGATAATGATGATATTTCTGTACGGTGCAGTGTGTTGGTTTTACTGTCTTCTGAATCAATTTTGACAACACAACTGATTGAGTTCGTTCACTTCTGTGTGTTTAGTACGATTTCATTTGTTAACTTTTTATTCTGTTAAACAAAAGTTTTCTGTGTTGTCTTTACTATCAATGTGTAGCTTATTTCAAAACCTACAAAAAGTTTGTAATAAGGATATGAAAACATCTTTTGCTTTAGAACTGCGAGCTTCAGAAATCTAGAAAAATGTCGACTCTCAAGCATGCCGCGTCTCAGTGCAGATGAGCGAGGGCACGCTGTTGGGCATCTCGAAGCAGATGTTCCCGTGGCGAATGTGGTAAGGATTTTTAACTGTAGCAGAGAAACCATCTACCGTCTGCAGACCAGGTCTAGCACTGATTTCCATGCATTAGGCTGTGGATGTCTTTTCAAGACAGTCTATTAAGCTGACTAGTTCTTGCTCTTGTCCCGCAAGGCAGTCTGCGTCGCCTGCAAAACGTAAGTTAGTAATCGTTCTGCCACTAATAGTAATACTGACTGCTCCTTCGTGATCTTCAAGTGCATTTGTCATGATCCTCTCCAAGAAAATGTTGAAAAGAGTGGGTGAGAGTAGACAACCCTAGTGTTCTCCCACTGTTGTTCGGAATCATTGGTGTACATGTATATTACATGCGTACGCGACACACACACACACACACACACACACACACACACACACACACACACACACACACACGTACACACACACACAGACACACGACACACACACAGTGGGGTGGTTGGCAGGTGCTCAGGGTGTGTGGTTTGCTCCTTCTTTCCTATCCAACATCTATCGTCATACTTACCTCTTTTCCTTTAAAAAAATGTATTTGTTACTCTCTTGTGACGCCTCTAATCTTCGGTATTTATATGACCCAATTGTGTTGCAAGTGACGTAAAACGCTTATAATTATATCTTTTCATTTGTAAATTGTATATTTAGGAGTATCGTACCTTTTCTTACTTTTCAATCAATCAGATTCACCCTGGACACCCCCCTACACACACACCCGGGCCTTTTCAAGACTGCTACAACTTATTGTTCCCGAGCTGCTGCTTCATACTAAACACTGCTGCTGCTACTGTTAGTGCTGCTGCTGCTACTGCTGCTGCTACTGCTACTGCTACTGCTACTGCTACTGCTACTGCTGCTGCTGCTGCTACTGCTACTGCTCCTGCTGCTGTTCCTGCTACTGCTACTGCTCCTGCTCCTGCTCCTGCTGCTGTTCCTGCTACTGCTGCTGCTACTGCTACTGCTACTGCTGCTGCTCTTACTGTTACTGCTGCTGCCGCCGCTGCTTATCTATGATCAAGCTGTAACGTAGCCTAGATAATAACATTTGTTGTAAAGACTGCTATTATGTTACCTTACCTTTTGGAAGTGTGGGGGTGTTGCTACCTAATGTGAAAGAAAGGGAAAAAACTAACTGAACTAAAACAACAACAACAAAAACAAAAATAACAACAAAAACATTTTAAAAAACAAAAAACATTTAAAAAAACCAAACAAACAAATCATGTAGACTTTTTGCTTTGATTCAACTGTAATAATAAAAGCAGTAGTAGTCGTTTTGAAATCGCCCTTCCTTCTCGTGGATTTCTGTAATTTCGTTCCTCACTTTTCCCATTAAAAATATCCCAAACTGATCAGAATACACAAACACGCTATTACAGTACATGTGCATATGCACGAACATACGCACGCACGAATGCACCCACACAAAAACTCACACACAAAAACTCTCTCTCTCTCTCTCTCTCTCACACACACACACACACACACACACACACACACACACACACACACACACACCACAAACACATACACATGCACTCACTGACTCAGTGGGTGGTTGGCGGGTGCTCAGGTGTTAGCTCCTTTCCTATCCAACAATTATCGTCCTTATCTCTTCTTCTCCTTTTTTGTATTTGTTACTCTCTTGTGGCGCCTCTAATTTCGGTAGCCTACTTAACTTATATGACCTAATTGTGTCGCAAGTCAGGGCGTAAAAAAACGCTTACTAAACATACACCACATGCACGCCATTAGAAGGGAATGAACAAGTATAATCTTGTCATTAGTGTATTGAGGAGTATTGTCCCTTCTGTTACGCGTCGGTCAAAAACTTATAATTGTTGCCGTGCTGCTTTTCTCATCACACTACTACTACTACTACTACTACTACTACTACTACTACTACTACTACTACTAC